AACTCATTGCAGCAAAGTCATCAGTAATTAATGTTTTATAACCTTTAATTATTATAATTAAACTCTTTCTAGAGCGTCAAAATATAAAAATGCACCTTTATAACTTCTCTGAGTTGAGTAACGATCGTGAATGGTTGTTTTCCATAGTATTAAGTGACACTGAATCAGAGTCAGAACTCAGCGATGAGGACGATTATATAAAGCAGTTATTGAAATCTCATCGGAAAATGCAAAAGGAACGTGAACGCTATTATAAAACCCCTACTGTACGTTACAATTTAATTAATAAATAAAATGTTAAATTTTTAATTAATGTACAAATTATTAAATATATAAATATTATCTTTAGAACAATCAGTATACCTATTACGGAAGTGGTTTTCTATCCTGCATTGACATGCATCCCGACCATCAGCAATCTATAATTGGCGTGCGCAAGCGTAAACGACGTGCAAAGAATGAAAATAAGTCGACCTTACCCAAATTACAAAAACTGACGAAAATTCGTAAATCCCGCAAAAACATTCCAAACGATGAGCCTGAATCTGGAGAAATTCATCCTTCAGAACTAAAGAACTATGCTTTCGGTGATACCTCAGCCGTGAATGATGATGACTTATCTGATGAAGCTGATGCCTATAGTAGTGCTGCACTATCTAGCAAAGCAAATAGCTCAGCCGTACGTAGCAAAAGTCGTAGAAATTTGTTGGCGTCTCCTGAAGTGTTAGCGGCACGTAGAAAACGCGTTTGGCAATTAATGTGTAAAAAGGAAATAACTCGCTGTCATCGCTTGAGAATTAACAACCACAAGGAAGTAATACAGAGCAGCAAGCGAGTTGCAGGTATGTGCATGAAAGTAGTGCGTCAGCGTGCCATGCAATCTCAACGTGTTATGAAGGAAACTGTGTGGCGTGCAAAACGGCTCTCACGAGAGATGCTGGGCTATTGGAAACGTTATGAACGTGTTGAGCGTGATACGAGGAAACGTATGGAACGTGAAGCTGAAGAACAGCGTAAAATGGATGTTGAAATCATAGAAGCTAAACGACAACAACGTAAACTTAATTTCCTTATCACTCAAACTGAACTGTACGCCCATTTTATGTCTAAAAAACTCGGCCAGGGTACTGAAGAAGAACAACTACGTATATTAAGCCAACTGGATGACGAAAAGAATCCACGTCTTGCTGCATATGATGACTATGACGCAGAACACATGAAACAGCTGGCACAAAAGAATGCAGAGACAGCGTTTAATACTGATCGAGTATTAAAGCATCAGTTTGATGTAGCAACAAGGATAAAAGAAGAGCAAGAAGAAGCAATGAAAACCGATGAAATAACTGGACCTCCAGTAAAAGCAGACTTGCCCCAACCGACTATATTTAAAGGCACTTTAAAAACATATCAAATCAAAGGTAAACACTTCCATCGATATAAATTTATTCATATAATTTTTATTTTATTTTACAGGTATGACATGGTTGGCTAATCTTTATGACCAGGGCATAAGTGGGATATTAGCAGATGAAATGGGTTTGGGTAAAACTGTACAATCAATAGCATTTCTCTGTCATGTAGCAGAACACTATGGAGTTTGGGGTCCTTTTCTAGTTATATCACCTGCGTCAACTTTACACAACTGGCAGCAGGAGTTAGCACGTTTTGTACCAGAATTCAATGTAGTTCCATATTGGGGTTCACCAAATGAACGTAAAATCCTACGCCAATTTTGGGAACAAAAAGATTTACATACGCGAGACGCTAGTTTTCACGTTGTTATCACATCCTATCAGCTGATTGTATCTGACTATAAATATTTTAATCGTATAAAATGGCAATATATGGTATTAGACGAAGCACAAGCAATAAAAAGTGCGTCCTCAATGCGTTGGAAATTGTTGTTGGGCTTTAATTGTCGAAATCGCCTACTATTGAGTGGCACACCGATACAAAATAGTATGGCTGAACTATGGGCTCTGCTGCACTTTATAATGCCAACACTATTTGATTCACATGATGAATTTAATGAATGGTTCTCAAAGGATATTGAATCTCATGCTGAAAATAAAACAGGTATCGATGAAAAGCAAATCTCAAGATTGCACATGATACTCAAACCGTTTATGCTGCGGCGCATTAAAAAAGATGTGGAGAACGAACTATCAGACAAAATTGAAATCATGGTTTACTGTCCACTAACCATAAGGCAGAAACTGCTATATATGGCACTTAAAAAGAAGATACGAATTGAGGATCTACTACACCTAACACGAAGTGGTGCAGGCAGTTCCAGCGATGGTGGACATGTTGATCGCAATTTCACTTCAAACCTTATGAATTTAGTTATGCAGTTTCGAAAAGTGTGCAATCATCCAGAGCTTTTTGAACGAAGAGATGTTAAGAGCCCTTTTGCTATGCGTTGTCAAGAGTATGTGATGCCACGCTTGGTATATGATGATGGCGTACTTAAAACAGCTTTGCCTAGTAAACGCCATTTGCTCTATAACAGGTTAGAAATGCTTTTTTATTTTTGACTTCCTAACAGTAATTAATTATATCAAAATATTTCAATTGATTAGGTTTCTTATATACAAAGCTGAACATGTACATCGTTCTATGTTTAGTGAACCAAAAGCAAATAACATTCAAAAAAGTGGGGAAAACTATTCCCGATATATCGATCTAAATGTAAGTGATGATTGCTGTTTTAGTTTTACGCGTTTAAGTGATATATCACCAAAAAATTTGGAAGATATGACTGTTGGTGGACTAATTAGTTCGTAAGTTATGCAATACATAATTTCAAACCTGAGGGTTTTAGAGAAATAAAAATATTTGTTCTATTTCCTAGTTTACAACATTATCGCTTTTTACTCATTTTCTATAAGTTGCTATCGTATCGTCGATTATGGTGGACAAACTATAAACCCTCACGTTTTCAGTTACTAGAACCGATGTTAGAAAATCCCATTGAGCAATGCACTCTATTTGAAGACAGTATTTTAAAGAGCTGCATATTCACAAGCATGGTAAGAATATGCACTAGCACTTTTAGTCCTTTGGGAACCTTAGTCTCTATTATGTATTTATCTAATTATCTATATATTTTATCATAAAAACATAAAAACATAAAAACATTTTATTTTATTAGATTGGAAATGACAGTAGTGTGTATGCGTTTGGAGATTACATTGTTGTAAATATGCAAGAAACCATGGAACATCGCGTTATACGTTCAAAACGATTCAAAAGCCATAAAATCCTGAATGAAGAAGCTAATATAAAAGATATAAAGAAAGAGTCTGATATAGACATTATGACATGTGACGACGAAGTTACGAGTGTAAAATCGCAGCTCCTGGAAGGTCAGTCAAAGAAAACAAAAACAGGAACGAATGAACTCCTGCCCGAATTTCCATACATTGCACGCAAACCTACTAGATTTTACTGTGAACCATTAGAAATGCCAAAATTTCTATATGGTCTGTGTCCACGAGTACAGGCAACAAGAAGAAGGATGTAGTAAGTGTCAATACGATTTAGTAAATAGCAAATCCACTTAAATTCATTTTGAATTTTTTTTAATAGCTGTGAAAGTCGTGCAGCCGAGTGGTCACATATTCGACATATGCAATGTGAAAACCCTGATGGACAACAATTGGTTTATAGTAGCTTAGATATTTGCAAACCACGTAGTGGGTGGTCATCACTTATTATACCGGACAAACAAACACTTGTATCAGATGCTGGAAAACTATCAGTGCTGGATAGTCTCTTAACGCGACTCAAATCACAAGGACATCGTGTATTAATTTATTCACAAATGACCAAAATGATTGATCTTTTAGAGGTAAGTGTGATTTTATTCATAATATGGTAACTTTTTTGCAAAAATGGTATGATTTAGGAATATATGTGGCACCGAAAACATCGCTATATGCGATTAGATGGTTCTAGTAAAATTTCAGCACGTAGAGATATGGTCGCAGATTTCCAAACACGTGCAGATATTTTTGTATTTTTACTTTCGACGCGAGCGGGTGGCTTAGGCATTAATTTAACTGCAGCTGACACAGTAAGTGCTTTATTTGTAATTATTTTAGTATATATATTTAGATTTATACCCTGTGCTCAAAATGAAACAATAAGTGCATGTGTAGTGGCACTTACGAGATACGATCCTATGATACGAATCCAATGACAATTTTTTCAAACTGCGAAAACGAGAGAGTTTGATCATCACTGTAGTAATTAAAAGATTTTAAAGATACTGGTGACACGCACCACTCACTAAAATAAATTATAGCTCTCAAACTGTAAGGAATTACAAACTGTTGTCGTCCGTCGCCGGTTATTAGGCGTAAACAAGCACGCAGCAAAAGAGGGAGAGAAATAGGGGGGTTGAAACATCCTAAAATGAATCGACGGACTATATTTTTAGCTATGTATAATCCATATGAATACATTATGTCTGTTGAATAGGATAAATATTTGTTCATTAAAATGTAAAAAAAATTGCCCGGAAAGCATCCGGAAATACATTTTAAGCTATTGGTCTAAGCAAAAGACAATGTAGCATTGAAATAAAAATCTAAAAATTTGCTAGTAAATCTGTTATATAAAAAATTTCAAAATGGTGGTTCCATTGAGATTGCTTAATTCATAGAGATCCTGTTTCTGTTTTAAGTTTTCTGGTACTTGAATATTGGTAAGCATCGATAATTTGTCAGAACCATTGTCAGAACTATTATTTATTATAAAAATAGGTTGAAAAAAAAAAATTTTAAAATGTTATAGAATTTAAAATGGCTTACAAAGTTTTTTCTTTCATTAATAAAAAATAGTCAAAATTTTATGTTTGAAATTTCTAACATTTGGATTTTCCTTTCTTAAAACAAAATTGGTTCTGCCCATGTAAAAAATTTTTGTTTGAATTTTGACTCAAATACCCCTTTTTCGGTATCAAAATTTTAAAATAAAAAAACTGGAAAAACAAAATGCATCCTGCACAAAGAACGTTTGGAAATCTGTGTAGTAAAAGATTCGTCTCCCGTATGTCCATTAAATCCCAAAAAGAGTCACAAGAAGAAGCTGAAACGCAGAACCGACATGAGCCCAAGGACTTTAAAATCAAGAATGCACCAAAATTAGCAACTCTCGCTCATCGTCTACGTTTAGCAATATATGAAGGTAAATCCGTCAACCTCAAAAAAAATGACGCCTTAGGTAAAGCTATGACAAGTGCCATAGAACAGGGAATGCCACGTAACGATGCACAAAAAATTTTAGAAAATTTCAGAAAGGAAAACGACCACTTACACACACACCTAATACAAATACGATATATGCACAAAATTTACGTAATAATTACTGCGTGCAGCGAGTCCCTGCAGAACCTTCAACTGAAATTGAAACCTACATTAGAGCGATATGAAGCTGCTTTTGGATATGTTATGCCATTTTTCAACAACACTAGCGATATTGAGGCACTGGTGTCATTCAAGACGGCTGCTGACTTTCAGAATTTGGAAAACACCCTCAAATGCGATGGGCGTGCTTGTAAAGCAAGATCGATTGAAATGTTGGACTCCGAAACTGGCGCTGTCAGTTTTAAGTGCAATCCCATGGAATTATTGTCGGCTTGTAAAATCTTGCAGCAGAGAAAGTATGTGATTTTGCATGTAGCTTATGATTTCGTGCCTAAATCACGTGTAATTCTGTGTCATCATGAACGACAAGTGTACGAGCAATTTCTAAAGAGAATATGGAAGCTGACAAACATATTAAATGTTTATGATAATGTCAATAAGAAAAGTCTTTAAATTAATACGGTGCTTTAAAATCCAAAGTTATAAAAGACCAATCCAAGTATACACATTGCTTCATTAGTTAAGAAATCAAGCAATAGAACCAGTTTATAAGTCATGCAATATTTTTGATACATAATAGTTTTAATATTTTTTAGATATCAAAAATTAAACAGTTAAAAATATTTGAATACGTTTTTATTGTTATTGAGAATAATTTCAACTTCTACAGATCGAGACTAGTTAAATTCCTGTAACATAATTCCCTATAGTATACCTACATATCGTTATTACTGAATCTTCGTTTCAAAACGAACTTTAGGCTCCATTATAAATGAACTTCATTTATCTAAATCATATATCTATATTCTTATAATAGGTGTAGTAGAAAAAAATTTATTAAGGTTGGTTTTATATTTTTCAAATGAAAACAAAACTAGAATGGGTCGAACAGTAATGAAAAAACAACTAACATTTGATGATATATTGAAATTTGATTTGTTGCCATATTGAAGGTAATTTCAATATGTCCCTCTCATAGAAGTATTCGTCCCTAATGGCAAAACATTGAGATTAACAAAATCGATGTTCACAAGCCTCTCTTGAGTCGAGTTTTTTACCAGAAAATCGTTCGCCATAGACAGAAACAGATGGTAATCATCTATTGCCAGGTATGGACTATAAGCTTGATGCATTGGAACTTTCCAACCAAGATTCCGGAGCTTTTGGAGAGTCATTATCGATGTATGTGGCTTGAGGTTGTCCCAATAAAACACAATTCCTCTCCTATTGTCTAAAGCAGGCCGTTTCTAGGCGATTGTTTTCTTCAGACTGTTCATTTGTTGACAGTACAGTTTCGAGTTAACAGTTTTGCTGTAAGAGAGCAGTTCATAATAGTTGATTTTCTGCCAATCCCACAATCCCACACATCAAAACCGTCTTGGCAGTCTGTCCATGGTTGACCACCGTTTCAACCGGTTCACCACAACTACGACCGTGGGCCACCATTTTCGTTTGACGTTGTCGTAAGTGATCCAGTTTTCATCACCAGTCACCATTCGCTTAAGCAAAGGGTCAAGCGCGATTTTGTTGCGATTCAGTAGTGGTTCGCAGATGGAAATTCGATTTTTTTGTGTTGATTTGAGTGACACCTATACATCGAGCTTTTTTTGTATCCAATATCCAACCTTATTGAAATGGTTCCAAACAGTTTTTTATTTTCTTGTACAATCTTTAGCTCTTGGGCAATCAAAATAGTGCTTACATGACAGTCGGTTGTCGGACTCGACATTTTCCATGATTTTATCGACATTTTCGACAATGGTGTTCCAGTGCGTGATTCATCTTTGACATCGAAATTACGCATGATTGGCTGTTATTGGAATGGGTTTCAAGCCAGACACAATTTAATAAGTAAATTTAAATGATTGAGTTATAAAATAACTATCTATGAATCTTCAGTTCAATCTTCAGTAAAACCAAAGTTGTTTTAATGTAAATACATATTTTTCTATATGATTATATGATTGTTTTTATTCCCGGATTTAAAATCCGGACAGATTGCATTATCTCGATTGTTTTTTAAAAGTAAGAAATCTACCAGGATTTATCTTTAGGATTTATTTTTTTATTTCAAAGTAAAGAAGAATCGTTATTTTGCATTTGACTTACTTTACCTTGCACATTATTTTTTATATTGAATAAATAAATATATTTTTTTTTAACATATTATCTATCAATAAAAGTGATCTCGATGACTTCACAACATAACATATAAAACAATATTTCGTATGAAGTTTCGTGGTGTGAATTTTAGTATTTGAACTTCGTGCTCCTCAAAAAATGTAGATCTACAGTTTTGGTTGGTATGTTGGATTAGATATATATATAAAAAGGGACATTAAATTTGATTGTATATCAATTACTTTCAGTTGAGAAAGATACTTATATGTCGTTGAATTTACGATACTCAAGTATGTCCATCTGATTTTCAGTAGCGCACTAAAAGCAGATAAGTCAGAGATTTATTTTCTATGAGACTTACTCGAATGGAATTTTTTGTAAAGTTGTACATATTTCTACAATGTGTGTGAACGATTTGGATGCCAACTTAAATCATTTCCTTTCGCAACAAAAGCTGTTGATGGTCTTTTTAGGTACTTCGAATTTTCAAACTTGCTACTGTGTGGTTCTATCAAGATAATATGCGCAAGTTCGTGTTAAAAAAAAAAACTTTTTGTATTATCAAAAGAAGTTATTATTTAAAATAAACACAAAGAAATTTCAAGTATTGACTTAAGCGCAGAATGAGCTTAAAGAAAATATCCTTAAAAATAAATAACCTTACGAAAGTTACACTGCATAAATTAAAATATAAAATAAAAATGTGTATATATACGACAAAATAATTGTGGAAAATACATTATGCAGCAGCCTCTATTGGTCACCCCGAATCCAATTATCTGCACAAGCTGACTACTAGAATAAAACTACGTGAGGAGTTTCGCTCAGGTTTGACAGAAAACAGCTGAAAGATGCTAGTTCTCAAAAGTAATGCGATACTACATTGCGACCGAAAATGGCAAATGCTTACCCAGGATGCTTGACATTAAAACATTATTTCTACAAATTCTTACTTATTGTTTATAAGGATATGTACGATATCTTTAATTTATGCAATGTCCATTAATCCTTAAATTGATATTCATATGCAATAAATGCTACAGTATTAACCTAAAGCTTTATTAGAAAAAAATATAGTTTCACAAAATATACTCTCAATGTTATTTATCTAATCCAGCACTTGATAGTTACAATTATAGCACTCATATAGCACTCAAGAAAAGACCCCATTAAGTCTTTTGACTCTTTTTTTTTTTTGAGATCTGATTTGTTCAGGAAAGTATCAAAAATATAGTCTTTCACAGAAACATGAAGTTTACCATGTTTGTATTTATCAAAGCTTAAGGCTGAAATGTCATAGAATTACTAAAAAATAATTATTTGCATAAATATTCCAGATATATTTTCAATTGTGAAATCATGGCATTAATGTGTAAATTAAGTAAAATAAACTTAACTATGAGGTCCAGTCCACAAAGTACTTTTTGTTGCTTCAAAACGAATGGAATTTCAACGAAATTGTTGTAGATACTTTTTATTGAGGAACTTGTTTTGGATTTTGAAATGAAGTTAATTGAAATGCGTGCATTGTTATGTGGTTGTCCACTGTACTGGACATGTTTCTGCAGATACTTATAAGATTTATGACGACTACTTAACGTATCAATTCTGTTGCTACTTTTTGCGCTGCTCTATTAAAAAATAACAAATTACAAAAATAAGTTTTTCATATATTCTTTATACACATTTTATAAATTTTTAATTAAAATTCAGAACGCGTACTTAAATTTGGATCAAATGGTTTGTCGTAAATGGTGTGTTACAAATAAAACGAACAATCGCACCTCAATATTTCTAGTAGATTCTGAATAAATAGATCATTTTTGTAACATTAAATTTAATATCGTATAATTTTTTAAAAACAATAATTGAAATATAGACAATTATTTAAACTAAATAATTTAGAAAACAAGTAACTGACAATGTCAGCTTCAAAGAATCACTAAACTTCTTTTTAAGGCAAAAAATTATGAGAAAGTCAAATGTGAAAGGCAAGGCAAAATAGAACTATCCGATAAAACCTTTCAGATGTAGATGTAGCTTAACTTACATACTTATATATCCACGATGTATATTTTATAGAAGTTAAGTTAATAAAATATCATCGAATTTATAGTGCAGGAAATTGTAGAGCTAGCTTCTAAATTCATTGTATACTACTTCATGCCTTACTCATAATAACGTTTTTGAATTATTCCTAATTAAAAATGATCGGAGGAAAAGAAAATCTATGTATAAATTCGACATTCTCGTAGCATAGAAGATATAATGTACAAGCTAAGTATTTATATTGCGGAAAGACAGTAAAGCTAATCTATGGCTAATCTATGCTAAGCAACAATCTGGTTTTGACGGGTCAACATTCCTGCATTGTTAATAAAGATACTTATGTTTCTTTAAATCTGGAAAACACTTTATAAGAAATTATGAAGTTAAGAAGTTCCATGCCACGGTATACATGTTTTGCAACTCTTCGAAGCATTCGCTATCAAGTCTAGTGAACGACAAGGAAGGATTGATATTTTCAGTAAAAGAAATAATGAAAGCCTTACGAGGGCTGCTATATATATTTCTGGCCTAATAATGAAAATGCGAATATTTATCATCAAAAATTGTTTTATTGTTTTTCAAAGTATTCTCCAGCCTGATTTATACACTTTTGCGTGCGCTCAAATCAATTGTCGAAGCACTTTTTCCACTCCGATTGAGATACCTCCAAAACATGGTTTTTGAACGCTTCAACAGCATCTTCTGGCGACAAAAATCGTTGACACGCATTTTTTTCTTGATGTGCGGGAATGAAAAGAAGTCATTGGGTACCAAGTTTAAGCCGATGTGTGAGAGCTCGCGTTGTCATGGTGAACAATGGTTCGTCTTCTCCGAAGACTTCAGGCAAACAAATTGTGGTGTACCACTCTGAAGTGACCGTCCTTCGTTGCTCAGGCGGAACAGTCGCCACATGACCAGTTTTGCCGCAGAAACAGGCAACAATTTGCTTCGAAGTGCTTCTTCCACGAACAACTTTCGTTGGATTTGGCTCGTCTTCGAAGACCTACACGGTCGATTGTTGTTTTGTTTCGAGCTCATACGCATAGATTCATGATTCGTCACCTGTGACTATCTTATAAACGTCTTTTGAAGCACCGCGAATGTATTTTTTCAACATTTCTTTACACCAATCAACACGAGCCTTTTTTTGAGCGATTGTCAAATTGTGCGGGATCCAACGAGAACAAACCTTTTTTACGGCCAGATGTTCTTGTAATATCGAATGTATGCTGGTGGGAGAAATGCCCAAGGATGCCTCTATCTCACGATATGACACATGACGATCTTGCATTATCAGTTCACGCACGGCATCAATGTTCTCTGGCACAAAGACCGTTTTTGGACGACCTTCACAGAATTCGTCGTTGAGCGAGCGTCGGTCACGATTGAATTCATTAAACCAGTTTTTCACAGTGCTATAGGATGGAACTTCATCGCCATACAAAGATTTAAGTTCATCAATGCAATCTTGTCGTGATAATCCGCGTCGGAAGTTGTGAAAAATTATCGTACGAAAATTTTCACGTGTTAATTCCATTTTTTGGCCGAGACGAATTTTTCAAGTCTCTGTAAATAAACCAATTCACAATTAAATGGCACCACGTTCTGAGTGATGTTATGCTAAAAAATGTCAACCTTTCCAATGGAAATGTCAGATTGCACCTGACAATAGTTCGTGTTGCCTAAGCCAGAAATATATATAGCAGCCCTCGTATTAGACGAGTGATACGGTATCCAATTGACGTCATTAACCTGTCTAAAAGATTAGAATATGCTAATGTTGTATGCTATCTTCGCCATAGTTGCTCCATTCTCTAGAGTAGCCTAAATTCATTGCGGTCAGGACATCAATTAATAACTGAAAGAATAAGATCTTAAAGAGCGGATATAGAATAATAACAAATAATAATTTAATAATTTACTTTGAAAAAAATAAAAGTAGAGGATGATGTGATTATTTCCAAAATCGCTAGAGGTGTTTTTACTCAACAAAAAAAAATTTAAACCATTCAACCATTATTTATCCATTACTATAAAACTGAACGTATTCACTACAAATATAAAAGCAGTTATATTATATGAAAGTGAAGCATATATGAGTACCACTGCAATACCATTCAAACTTCTGCATACCAATATCTTTATCGACTCTTGCACATGTGTTAACCTCATAATATATCCAATATCGACATCCAATATTAAATAAGTCAAACTAGATCAACAAAAGAAATTTACGAATGACAATGGAGCACTGAGGTCTATCCCGTAAAATTCCAGAAACACGCTTATTAAAAAATATAAATTATTTATGCAACGACATCGTTGTGTTATGCCCATTGCAATTCGAATTAAACTAAGGAAAGAGATTTTACGCTCCACCCAGGAAGACTGAATCGCATACACATACATGGAAACTTAAATATAATGTTTATTATATATATATTAATTCAAATAAGTTATTTCAGACTAAAAAAATCGTCCTGACGACACTCGGCCCACAAAGTGCACAAAATAAGATGTTACAATACCTCATTGTTGTGTTTAGATACAATTTTTGGAATACCTGCAAATATCTTGATGGACATAATAGAAATAATAGCTAGAAAGGTATTCTGGGTACAGTAATATTCTTTTTAGAACAACAGATATACTGAGTAAATAATTTTTTACAAACAGATTTCGACAAATTCTCCATCTTTGACTCTTGGGTTTTAGGGAAATATTCACAAAAATTAATTACC